ATCTAAAGCATTAGAAGCAACTCTTTGTGTGATCCACAAATTGTTGTTCTGGGTCTGGGTGTCATGTGTATGTCAAAATTGTATGTTTTTATACGCAACCACGATACAGGAGAAAATCCCAGTGTGCGGGAACGTCTTATAAAAAAAAAAAGGTAAAGTAAAATATGGTTTTTATCGGCTGACAGGTAACTATGACCTAGATCATACACCTATTAATATAACAATATTCTTGCAAAGAATAAAGTTGATATTTATTCTCATAATAATTTATGTTGAGTCTACAATTTGCCATTATTCAATCAGCAGCGTTATTTTTTATAGCCTATTGATAGAAGTTTTATATGGGAGAACGGTTAAGTCATTTCTGTAAATAGCCGCCGAAAACAGAATAATTTATAAATGGCGTAGGCTATTCCAAAACAATATACATAGATATCGATAATAAAAGAGCTTGTAAGATATACTATGTATCCTATGTAGGCACTAAAGTGTGATTTGTTCTATACTAGCATTTGCCCGCGAGTTTGTTCGCGTGGAATAGTGACTTCCTGTAGATTTTTTGTATAAAAACTTTTCTCGAGTTCCAAACTATGTCTGTACCATATTTCACAGAAATCGGTTCAGTAGTTTAGGCGTGAAAGAAATAAAGACAGACAGAGTTACTTTCCAATTTACAAATTAGTTTGGAATAGAAGAGCTAATAAAAGAGCTTATAAGATATACTATGTACCCTATGTGTGCACTAAAATGTGTTTTATTCTGCATTTTAAATTATCTATTGTTCTTTATTTGAATTTTTACATTTTTGGATCAATTTATTCGTAGTTAGAGGTCTTTAGCGTATAAATAATACAACCGTACTTCATACTACCCTTCAAAGACGGGTCTGGGTGTCTATGGACGTCGTTAATGAATTGCAATCAGGTTAGGGGCTTTTCAATGGTTACATAAAAGATATCTGTAGAATAATTATGATGCTGTCGCGTCAGAATGTTTGTATCAGACAGAGACAGCAACAATTTTTTTTCCTCAGATAACATTTATCTGACTATTGAAAAATCAGCCCTTAAACAAGACAAAAAGAATTAGAAAGATAGCAACATAAATTGTGATTAATTTCTAAACATATGTATGTACATATAGTTCAATTATGTGACGTTTCCTGTGATACTTTTTATTAAAAATATTTCAACAGAATCAAAGTTTTATCAACACAACTACTGTACCTACTCATAGTCATTTAATGGTTAATTTATAAGCCAGTCCTTATTAATTGCTTTGAAAAAAAAACGTTTCAAAAGAATAGTCTAATTTTTTGGATCTTTGTAAAGAATATTTTTTTAATGGGGAAAAAGTACTTCTCTATCCCAAGAGGGAGTGTCAGACTCTTACTGACTATAAACCAGGGCGTGGTCACGGTACGTTGTTGCGCCTGACCCGGAACCCTAACTAAGCATGAGCCCTATTGGGCCCCATCTGTGGTAGCCTGTATGCGCGCGGACAGCTACGCGCCGAAAGCTCCGATTTACAAAATAATAATTTAAGTAATAATAAAATATCTCTTAGTACGGTAGTGTCAGGTGTGCATAAATGTTAGGTAACAGCGCTGTGAAAATCTTTTTAAATTAAAATTTTCCAATTTTCTACTTTAAGTAAATAGCAAATTGGAAAAGTTGTTTTTTTTTTTAATTCTACTTGGTTAGGTAGTCAAGTAGTTTTTTCTTTAAAGTTTTAAACTTTTGCGTTGCATATTAAAACTTTAAAATATAGTAAAAATTACAGTTTTGTGTAGTGTTAAAAACTTATAACTTAAATAAGTTATGCGGTTAAGAAATAAGTAATTTTAGACAAAAACAAGTGATAATTAATAAACATCTGTATTATCTTAGGAACCATTCCTTTTGTCGTTTTATATCCCTCATACGTTACAGAACAAAAAATTTGCTCCAAACGAATAGTAGAGCAAACTAATAGCTTTTTTAACCTCAAAACTAAAAGTCATAGTGAACGGAAATATTGATATCGTTCGTTTTTTGTAACAAGGCATATTTAATTACTCAATATTTTAATCGGAATATAACATCTTATTCAGACACAGTGACCTCGGCAGTTTGCTAAGTAAAAATTAATGTTTACAACGAGCTAGTTCCTTGACAACACGACACTTGGTATAAGTTATAATATTGTAAGCAATTGCAAGCAAAAAATGTTATTGAAATAGTATCAGTTGTTGCACACTCCATTGTATAACTTACAATATTTTGTTTTTTACATTTTTGCCGTCCCTTCTTTTCAATGTTACGATTTAACTGCTCTTTCAAGGCTCCGTCCGGTTAAATATCAACCAGGTTAGTCCAATCTGTAGATGTCGCATTGCGTAAACTGACGTAACTACAGTAACAATTTAAATCCTTTTCTTTTTATCACGGTGTAGGCAGAATTAAGAAAATATTGTTTCAATTGAATTTTATAAGAAAGCTAAGACTAATCTAATGCACCATGCAATATGATAGTCAACACAATATATTATAACGTAATTGAGAATGTTAAACAAATTATGTCGCATTCGTAGTAAAATAATGTATTGGAGTATAAATTTTCATCATCAACGACAGCATTTACATCTGATGCATAATAGTTATAAAGATAACCAACTAGAAGCGGGTTACGAGTAAACTGTCGAAACGATGTCGAATATAATTTCTTAAATTGCGTTCGACGAAAGGTGATTGCGACACTAGTGTTAGTGCTTAGAGCTCGAACACGACAATTCGTGCCAACAATTGTTTAAACACTCGTTACTTGTTCACAACAATCCATAAAAGTAAGACTAATTGTCGTAACAGTACAAACATACAGAAAGCAGGTTCGACGAGGCCCGTGGATAGCCACACTCATACATCTTGCGTTCATTAATCGCCCGAGTTTCGCAGTCCGTTATCAGCCGGAGCAGTGGCAGTATCAATGATTGTTGATACACACATAAATCACAATTATGTGATCAGAACGACCACTAACCGAGCTGCAGTCAGGTTTTATAAAGCTCGAGGGGATTACATTTCAAAACTGGCGACCTTCAAACATCAGATTATCTAAACTTTTACATTCGAGAGACCGACATCTGACTGAATAGAGGCTGCTACAGCAAATTAAGTTGACATTGTGTGACTGACCCGCTTGAGTAACTCACGAATGTTAAGCGTTTTTTCTTCAGTATTCGTTCATAATTGATGACAAAGGACTGATTTATCCGCTAGTTCTTCTCGGTAAAATTATAATAGTAACCATATGTTTGGTCCGACGTACTAATTTCTGTGATTTATTATCTTGTTTGCAAAGAATGTGTATAAGAATCCTGACAAGGTTTGATCAATTTATTTTTAATAATAGGTTATAATGAACTCAGTTGGTACTCTCGAATAGCTCATAGATAGATAGGCTTGTTAATTTTGACATCGCAACCTTGTGGATGCAATACATTTTTAACAACACTTGACATAGTAATTGAAATCGGAAAGCCGGTGATCCATGAAATTCTACGTTGCGTTTCAATAGTAACGAAAATGCTTGCCAAATACGAAGTGATATGGTGTTTACAAGCGGCGCTAGAGCTCGAGTCAACGCTCTGTCTTGTTGTGACCTTTGATCAGGGGTCAAGAGTCGTATACATACATATGTATTGGTTTTTTTTACACAATATTCATTAGTATCGACAGATGAGCACTATTTGGGTTAACATCTCGTCGGCAGAGATTCCCCGTGTCAGAGGGTCACCAGAGCTTCACCACAGTTCACGGAGTTCACTGTTGGCGCTTTGAGCTGCTTTACACACCAACCGCGACCCAGCCTTGACCTCTTCTTGATGACGTTGATTTCTTGATTCTTCTTCACAAAGATAACAAACGCAATCAAACGCATCGTTACCTAACGTATAAATATCGTGATATTTCTTTAAAGTTACTAGGTAGGTGTCTGGTGGTTAAGGACTAACTGTGCATGAAACTTAGCAATTATCATAATCAAATTGGTGTGCGAGAGCGAACACTGTAGCACGCTGTTAACTTATTATGAACTTTATTGGTGTGTTAGCATTAGCCATTAACATGGATTGGAACAATGTCCTTCTCAGGGTTAGGTCTTGTTGTTTGGACAACATTCCCCGAGCTTGTATCGATAACATTAATAATAGCCACGTAACAAACATACCTGACTATTCTACATCAGTTTCGTTAAAAACTGTAGTGTAGCAAATCACATTTTTGAACAATTGCAAATAAAAGTAGTTCATATCATCAGACTATAAATGCCCACTACTAAATAGCTGTTTTCACACGGAGAAGGTTTGAGCGTTAATCATCTTATTTCAAACTTATAGGTAATTAGAAATAATAAGTTCAGGTTTCCTCATAATGTTATCCTTTAGTGCTGTCTACATAATTCGTTAATAGTAATTTAAATTATGTTTAACTATAGATACATATAAAATACACTAAAACAAAAAAGTTACATTCGATATGATTATCAACATCATGTCATACAACACAGATAGCATTTGTAGCGCAATCGACATATTGTTGTAAAGGCTATTTATAAATGTGTGCTATAATATGATACAACCAAACGTAACTTCGCTAACGAAAGTTACAAGAAAACACTATATGCTCAAAACTCATTACTTAAGAAAGAATTAATGCAATTATCTGTTAAAAAAGTTTAATTAACGAGGCATTTGTTGAGTTGCTTAACTTTTGAAATTAATCGTTAACTTGCAGGTAAATTCGGGATATGAATTATCTGACTAAACACTTAGTTACTTGAGTAAGCAGCCGTTTACCCTGATTTACATAATACCTTTTTAATTTTCATTCATACCTTGATTGGTTAATTAAAAAAAATAGTGTATCGTGTAAGAGATTGCGGTGCTCTTAAGAGAGGGGCGATGCTGAATATTAATACATTTGTGATAATAGTACAAAACGTACAATGTGTATTGTTTTAAGGTATGCGATGTTACGGCAGCGAGCCGGGCTGGCCTCGACGCCGGTCGGCGGCGATGGCGCTGCGCCCGCGCCCTCCGCGCATACATTCGATAACAATACGATTGTTGAAAACTTAAATTATGTTCTCTAAGTTACGCCAAGGAAGGTTATTTTGATCTTATCACTTTATGAAAATTGTTAGCTCTGTATTTGTACTGCTTATCAACCTCCGCTTAGAACTTTTAATAATAATGCACAGCTTATTTTTATATTCCCAGATAATTATCTTGCTAATAACCTTATTAATAAATATTTTCTTTTGTTAAGTGGTTTATTCAACGCGTTTATCTTTGAGTGTCTGTGCTAAGTGAAGGCAGCTCACAACGCGCTGGGGATGTGGGTTAGGTATTTCTCTCATGTGATGCAGCCGTGGTATGTGATTCAAGTCGTTAGTCGTCTGCGATTCCAATCGAAATGATAACGACCTCTAGTTGCGAGAGCCTGGCCAAAATACAAGTTTCCCAATATGGCGGGAAGCGACTAGTATTTATAGGTTCATTCTACGTCTATGGTTGAGTGACCTTGCCAGGTACGAAGACGGCGTGGAACACGATGAGCTCAGTGATTCAATTAAAAGATGTAGAAAAAGTAGGTATTGGATAGTTCTATCCACAGGACCACTGTTATGTAACATTCGCGTACCCACTCCATGTACACTGGGATGCCGTTTATAGCAACGCACAAATTAGCAATTTACCTTTAAAAGTATACAAACCGATACTAGTATTTGAAACACCTATTTAGTATACATAATACGCGATAATAAGCAACATAATATGTATAGCTGCGTGTATGTGTAAAATATTCGCATATGATTACGTTCTCTAAAACAATTTCTTCGAAGTATTCCCGCGCAGCGATGTAAAAGGCAATGGGTCACTCATATATCACTTAAATGTTGATGTCACTGACGCCGGGTAACTCTTAGATAATCAAACCATCCGCCGTGCTTAAATTATACCGCCTTGACGTATTAAGTAATGTTCCAAATCACTCGACCCTTTTCCCTACTTAAATTCAAGATACAAGGCAAAGTTACAAAGAGAAATCGAAATCACTCACTTAAAATACTTTCCGAGCGTCTTAATTAGCTGCTAAGTACCACTGCCTCCATTTCCTCAAAACAATTGGAATTAAATAATCATTGCGTCAAAGCAAACTGTTTTTGTGCTATGTTAAGAGCACAAGTTCAATGGGACTTTCGTTGCTACGTAGAGCTGTCGCCCGCGTAGCAATCTTACTGAGAAATGTTTGCAATTTTTTGTGCTCAAAAAAGACGAGTGCAACCGTCAATTTTATTGTTGCGTGAGCACAACTCGCTTTAACTACAAGAAACAGATATTTATGCGGGTGCAGTGCGAACGCCGGCATCACCGCGCAAGCGCGACCACGCTACCGTCTACCGACGGGCCCGCGCCTCTTGCGAGACGGTTGCCAGCGACAGTTTTTTGTGCCCTGAATATAGGCATTCAACCTGCGTAACCTCGTCACAGAGAGGAAATATGTTTAGCTGTAATTTGGATCTGACACCATTGGAAGTAATACTCAGTTTTTCTAAACGTGTCTACTTAATACATTTTCTTTTAGCAATTCAATTTAGTCCTATTTCTAAGTTGTTGAATAAATAACGTTTGTCTATTTCTCACGGTAGTACGTATACTGGATTTTAAATATACAACTGGATAAAGATTTTAAACTGTGAAACTTGTTAGAAAAACTGATTGAAATTATATTTAATGTTCGACCTGATTCATTTTTGCCGTAATAACTATTAGTTGAGATAAATAAATTGTTGTGGTGGTCCGGTTAATTGTGCAACAGGGCGATTAGCTAATTACAAGTAGGTAGCTATAGCGTATCCGCGACAGTTTTGTACCGAGGCCGGTTCTGATGCAGTCTGTATCAAACTGGTATCTAGTCATCTAGTTACCACTCAGTTTTAGTTTGATTAACCGATTATTGTAAAAATAAAAATGCATGTGAATATATAGATAGTGTATGACGCACGGGATAGAAAAAAAGAGAAATATTCTAAAAATATTTTATGAATTATGTCGCAGCTACTCAAGAGAAGGCTTAATTAGGTTAATAAATGATTTCGCTTTTTATTTCAAATAGCAGTTCTAACCAACCGTTCACATAGCAACGTGGCTTTATTGGCTGTACTGCCAAAATGACAAATTCAGTCAGTAAATCAAACAGTCATTCAGACCGTTAGTGGAATGCGGACAATGTTTTTTGTCCATATCGTAACTATACAAGAGAATACACGATATATGTATTATTATACGATATATATTAGATAGGTAATTTTATTTTTATTTGTAACAAGCGGCCCACCCCCGCTTCACACGTGTCTCGATCTCGCTAACGACGAAAGAGTCTCTTTTTTCCAAAATATACTCTCTACTTTTCTAATATTTTCTTTGATAAAAGTCTTCTTCCGACAACACACAATAAATACAACACAAAAGTAATCGCCAAAATTGGTTCAGGCGTTGTTGAGTTATGCGCCTACAAACACATTTTGCGATTCATTTTTATGCATATTAGATGTGTGATGTGTGTACCTTCAAGTACAAGAGAGTCAGATGATTCTTAGGAAAGCTGTCGCTTTTCTTCGGACAAGTAAAGTTACGCCATCGGCTGGTTGTTGCTCTAACTAAATGTTAATAGACAACGTATTTACTCCAAGCGGTAGGAAGCTTACGTAAGCATGTCCAGGAAATTCTGTACATTTTATAAGAATGGTTACACATTATCTAATGCTATATTATTGTAAATTGTTAGTTGGTACACATGATGTTTTAGTTTCTATAGAAGTTTACTACCTCACCGCTACATTTAGGTACAAGGAGTCCGAAGGAAGTAACCAGTTTAGCTTAAAAAGCCTACATAAAACTAGTAAATTTTGTCCATAAGTTAAGGTCGATTGAAGTACATTATTGTTTTCTCTCAAATACTAATATAATCTAGAAACAACCATGTAAGTGTTTTTAGTAATGTTTATTGTAGTTGTCATGCTCAGTGGCTTGTAAAAATGCTTGCCACTTGTAGCAGTCGTGTCAGTTTGAGTCTGTGGCAACACCGTGGGTGCGTCTATGAAAAATGTATTAGATTGAACGCAACTAACACAGTGTGGCAACTTTGACAACATTTTTTCGGTACTTAAATGTGGATTTTCTATGGTGACAAATCAATTCCTACGTGGAATGTGTTTCTGCTGCATTTCATAAATAAGTTAGTCATTAATTATATTAGTCTTACTTTATAAATTAACGAATTCAATTCTTTATGACTGTCACGAATAGTTACTGGGCTAAATTCTACGCGCAATGAATTTGTCAGTACTAAATGAAATTAAATCAAATCAAAATAAAATTTACATAAAAATGATACATATTACATACGTGTATGTGTGTATGTGCTACCAAAATGCCGGATGAAGCTGCGAAATATTAAGAAATATGTCCGATTCGTGTGAAGGCTGGGTGCGGGGCCCTGCGCGTACGCAGTGAACACGTGCGACACAAGGCTAAGGTGATATTTACTTGTATGTCAATATTTCGTAAATTGCCTATTTTAAGCGCAATTTACACTCGACTACTGACCACTGCGGGACGGTTGTTTCCTCTTGACTGTTGTTCTATGTGACGTAAACTATGTTTTGATACGGCTAATGTTTACTCTGCTTTTGATTATAATGTGGTTGAGCCATCTTCATTGCTTGTTTTGTGTTAATTCCGAAATACAGTTAGTTTACATACGACATGAGTACGACTTATATTCCACCTCTTTACAAATACATTCATACTAGTTTCTGTTCATACAATTTTAGTCATACACTTATCTACATTATGTCTCTATGTTGCAATAACTAAATATTATAATCTGGAGGATGTAAATTTCCTGTCGCAGGTGCCAAAGGTGTCTATTATCTCTCCCGGTGTTGGTGTTTAGTCACCAGTCAACGGCACAATCTGTTAAGCAAGAATTGCATTGTAATGATGATATCCGATTTTTAAATTTATCTTCTGTTCGAAGATTACTTTTAAAATTAGTGTACAAAGCTACGAGTAATGTCCCTTGCGAAGATTGTAGAGCAATCGTCATCTGAGTTCGTTATCTATCATTGTATCGGATTTCGTAACACAGAATCAATCTAGCAAGAAGTTTGTTGTCTAATTACAGCAGCTGCCCAATAGCTTCAAAACCTAACACCAAATTCCGTTCTAAATTTGACTATCTAGTGTCTAGTGAAAAAAAAATAGACAGAAGCACTCATTTTCTAGCTCCTAAGTTTCAAAAAAAGAACTAGCGGGCAGCAAAGTCTTTTAGATATGTATGTGTGAGTGTGTAACAACAAAAACATTAAGGAATTCATAACTCGGTGTGCAATTGGCGAAGACATATTGCACCGTATGACATAAGTATTTCAGAAACTTTATCTGCTCGTATCGATGTTACCGTCTCGAGAAAGTACGAACAAAGGAAAAGGATTACATAGTAGGTAATTACTTTATGCAAGATTGTTCTACCTTCCTTACCTACTTGTTGAACAACTACTCTACTATGTATTTACTCTGTGCAATTATATGCTTGCGATTTTTTACCAATTACTTTGCTAATGTAGTTCATTCATGTCTGTAGTTGTAAGTCTAACATTTATGTGTTGGTTTTGATATTTTTAACTCGTATGTTTTTGCTATTACGATGGGAAGGTATGTCCTTTTGGTATATATGTTTCAGAAATATTCCTGTGTCTTATAATGTATGAAATATAATAATATATGTAAAAGACCACGTCTCCCCTTATACTTATTTTCGATTATTGGTAATTTTATTAAAAGGTACGGTGGCTCAAAAGACCTTGTTTAATACACTAATTTACGCTAATTTAGTGCCGAGAATATATCCAAAGGCAGCATGCGTATTCCAACAATTTTAGCAAACGACTTTCATTGCGATTGCGATAGTAAATAGCAACTTAAGTGTATGCCACTAGTTATACATATACAGCTGTACTTTACAAAATTAGAGTAATTTAGTCTCATTTTAGGCTGTCTTTGATCATAAATATCTGCTGTAGCG